TTGATGGGCAATTGCCGTACTCGGTATGTGCATGGCCGGATCCGGAAGCAAGAGAGTGGGTCTCCGCCTCTCGCCACTTTCACGTGATACAACATTGGCTCACCCCGGCGCGCGTTTTCAACATGAGCTACATCATCGCTGAGCACGTCCCATCAATTAGGCGCGCAGTTGAGGCCAGGAATTACATGGAGGATGTGGTGGAAAAGGTCACGCTACCAGATCCCCGTCGTATCCGCCTCGAGGCGAGTCCCCCAACTCTCACATGGCACCTCGAGCCAGCTGACTTTCGCGACAGGGTCTAGCGCAAAGGGCCGCAATTGTCTACACCACCCTCCGGATCCCGACGATGTTTGGGCTCTGATGGTCACGCTCTGCCGACGCGCGGTGCACAAGGTAGTTTATTACCCAGAGCACCGACCTGCGCCGCGCTCGTACATCTGTCTCGACGATCCCGACAAGGAAGACATCGAGCTCAACCGCTATTGCATACGGTACGAGGCTCCAGACGCGAACGTCGAGTTGTTGTGCCCGCCGAGCGTAGAGCGCGTCGACCGCAGCCTCATCCGTAACCCGCTGGACACTGTCGTCAAATTTGGCATCACCATGAAGCACACATCTCGATTTATTGTGCGACCCTTTTTAGCTGCAATTAAGAGGAACCCTCTACTTCCACTCCGGCTGCGGCTATTGCACACAAGACGCGTGACTCCTGGCGCAGCAACGTTGACAAGATATTTCGCAACCAGCGTCGCGGCGGTGGCCGTTATCGAGGAGGGTACAGTGATTTCACTTCTGTCGAAGGTGCGCGTTGCTTGGTTGGCAAGCATTCTACTGATTTCCAGTATACAGAGTCCCTGCGGTACGAGGCAGGACTTGTCCCGACGGCAGCGCGTTACGGTTACTCAAGTCGTAGCGTAAACTGAGCCGCGCCGGCCTCATCCAAACTTCCCATTTCCTTCGATGTGCCCATCCGTGATGTATCGTATCCTGTCTCTGTAATCGTTGTGCGTGTCTCGATGCCTGCTCCAACAAATACGTTATGATGTTTCACAGCATCGCAGACAACAGATTATCCTCCTCGTCCGTAAAGCTCAGCTAGACGTTCCAAAGCCACCTGAAAAACAACATTAATCTAAGCTACCAACGACCTCAGCGAGAAACATACGTCATATCCCTCGCGAAGGACATCAAGATGAGTTGGCTCAACGTTGACCTTTTTGATCTTGCCCCCACCGCTGCCCACCGTTCGTCCACCCTCGCGGAGCATCGCTTTAAAGTGCCGAGCCTCTTGCGTCTCAAGCAGAGTCCACGCTTCGCCCGTACGACCGGCCCGCGCTGTACGACCGGCGCGGTGCACGTACTACGAAATATGTCACATGTGGATCGCACGGGATCGACAGAACCGACCTTTCGCATGTCCAGGGGCGCGTCGTAGCTGAACACGCGCCGCACCGAAGCAACATCCAGACCACGGGAAACAAGATCCGAGCACACGAGTCTACGTCACGATCAGTCCGAGGTTATTCTTCCTGAGCGAGCAGACTTACACATTGACCTCACCCTTTCTAAACCGTTCGAGCACCGACCGTGGTGCGTCGCTCGAGTACGCCAGGATCGATGCCGTCTTCAGAATTGAGGTGAGCAGGGTTGCTAGCCGTGCGGCCGCTTCGACGCTCTTGCAGAACACGAGCGCCTGCCCGTCATTTTCCGCGCCAATGAGATGTGCAAGAACAAGTGGCTTGTCTGCGGTCTCGCACACGACCATGCGCTCCTGTAAGGACGTCGGGAGCGACGCGCCGAACTCTTCGTCCACGCCCTCGCCCTCTCCATCAACATCGTCAACCTCCATAGCATCTTCGGCCTGTGGAGCGGATGTGACGACGAAGTAACGCGGCCGCACGAGCCCCAAAGCGTTTAACCTGCCAGGGTCGCGCGTCAGGGTCGCGCTTAACAGAAGCTTTTGTGCGCTCGGTTTGGGAGCAAGTGCCGGGTGTGCTGGGAGCATGGGCAACGTAGGGAGAAGATGCGGTGCGAGGATGGTTGGTTGGTCGGTGCCTGTGGGCTGTTCGATTGCATGCCGGACGCGTGCGAGCCAATCCTGGAAGCTTTGTGCGAGCAGACGGTCTGCTTCATCGATGACCTGCGCATCTAAAGTCAGCCTGACAATTCTGTTTTGACGAATAGATTGCTACGTACCAAGAAGCGCAGATGGGTCAAGGTGAAGCCGGGCGTTCCGTCGAGGTGGTCTATGAGACGTCCAGGAGTGCAGATCAGGATGTCGACCTTGGACTCGCCCATCGAGGCCCTAGTACATTGAGCTCAAGTGAGCACTTAGTGTCCATGAGTCCCGGACGTCCACTCACCCCACTTTCTTGTCCACCAGCCCAGCTTGCTCAACAGCGAAGCTCTGGGCACCGGTGATGCTGCCTACTCGGAGACCGGTGCCTTTGGCTAGAGATTCGAAGGTTTCGCGGACCTGATAAGACAAGTCAGGCCTGAGTTTGAAGATGTCGATCGTTCGCCGTACCTGGGCTACCAAGTCTCGTGTAGGCAAGACCACCAGCGCACGCAGGCGCATGACGATGCGCGGTGCAAGTACCTCGACGATTGGGATTGCATATGCGAGAGTTTTGCCACTTCCTGTCGGCGCAGACACGCAGATATCGCTCAGCAGTTCGTATGGACGGTAAAGCACTCGGGCAGCTTGCGCCTCTCGTACTCCTGCCGATGTCTGAGGAAGCAAATGCGGGACAAGAGCGGTTTGTACTGCAGACGCAATTTTCAGAGTTACTCAAGAACGGTAGTGAATATAACGAACCAGCGAAGAGCTCCTTGATTCCCATGTCGACGAGGCGTTTCCGTATTCGCTCGCTGAGGATTTCGGACACAGTCACATCCGAAAGGGAGAGGGTCTGCCTGCCATCAATTTTTGTCGCAGCGAGTAATGCCGAATCAAGGCCTTGTCGACCAAGTTCTGTAGCCGATGGCGGGGCAGGCTGGACAGGCAGAGGAAAAGCGGGTAAGGTCGAGGGAGGTGGTGGGTCTCGATCATCAACATTTGTAAAACTAGGAGCACGTGAAGATGAATCTGTTGGACCTGAGGAGTCTGATTGCGCCCCGAAATCATTATCTGAGGAAGCTGCAGACGGCGATGTTGCACGCGCTAGCGAGGCTACTGGAGGGCTTCTCTTTTTTGACTTGTTCAGTTTCTTCAGCTGCGAGGCAGTTGAAGGTTCTGTAGCAGTTGATGATTCAGCATCTGGTTCTAAACTGATGCGTCGCTTCTTGCGCGGTCGATCGTTCATGTCGACATCGACGTCCGCTCCTTGGTCGTCGACGAACTTGGACTTTTTTCTCGCGCTTGATCTTTGGCGAGTCATCCAATACGTTTTTTGATGTTGCTGGAGACGAAATTGTTGGTTCCGTTGATATTTGCGCCGGTGTAGTTTGCGTCTTGGGTGCTGTAGCCTTCTGGGCTGCGATACGCTTTTTTCTCTTGTCTTTTTTCTTCTTCAAGTAGCGGACCTTCGTAGCGGTTTTTATCTGGAAGAGTTGTCTTTGAGCAGAGGTATCACAATATCGCGATGTCGTAGTACCTTGTGCGCTACATCAGAACTTGCGCCGGATCCGGCGGTCGTTGCAACGCGAGGCTTGGTTCCTGGTGCAGGCGCAACCGCCATGTACGAAATTTCAAGCTTGAAAAGCAGAAATGGGGTGAAAGACTGTGGTCACGATGAAGATGCGAACGAGGCGAAAGACCAAATTTCGAACGGCTCACGCCGGAGCGCGTTTCGCGTTTTGACCTCCTTCATCCCGCGCAGCCTCGTGTCAACATGGTGCGCATCATTACTACCCCTTCAACGTCTGTTACTAATTGCGTGCGCGTATTTCTAAATTAACTAGCCTCCTCCAAAAGGTCTTTATATTCCTTTCGACTGCTGTTCGCGATACTGACTCGATCTTTCTTTTCTGCTTACAGCCAAAGGCGGCAAGATGCTCGCCCTCATCAACTGGCGTTTGAAAGTCACGTTGAACGACGGGCGCTCTCTGGTCGGCCACATGCTCGCGTTCGACAGGCACATGAACCTTGTACTGGCCGAGTGCGAAGGTGTGCATCTCGCTCGTTTTCACGCTATTCTGAAATGACCGAATGTCTTTAGAGTTCCGCAAGATTCGCCCCAAGAAGCAGCCTGGTGATGCAACAGAAGGCCCACCTCCTCAACAGGTTCGCAATCGATATCATCCTTCTCACATGCTCTTACCATCGACCATCCCCGTTCCACAGGAAATCAAGCGCACTCTTGGGCTTATAATTTTGCGTGGGGAAACGATCATCTCTTTGACGGTCGTTGGTCCTCCCGCTGCAGACACGGAAGAAAAGAAGGTACGTGACCTCGATCTCATCTTCCGCCTACACACTGTCTCATCTACTTAACAGGCTGCAATGTTTCCCGGCCCAGGCCCCGGTCGTGGCATGCCTGCAGGCCGTGGGATGGGACCCATGGCAGGCATGGTCCCGCCTGCGATGGCCGGCGGAGCTGTTCCTTACGGCGGCCGTCCTCCTCCGGGGTCAGTACATGTTCATACTCCCGCACTGCATTTTTCACAGTCTGATCTCTATACAGATTCCCCGGTGCACCGCCATTCGGTGCTCCTCCTGGGTTCGGTGGGCCTCCACCTGGCATGGGACCTCCGCCAGGCTTTGGCGGCCCTCCGCCAGGCTTCCCCGGCGGCCCACGATGAACGCCGACTCTTGGACAAAAGTGATCCCTGTCCATGTTTCATCTTTCATTCTGTAAAACTGTATCCATCATTGAATGTCGGCTGAATTGTCAAATGCCCATTGTTCGTCGTCTTTACCCTCAAATTGGTCGTAGTCTACGAGCTCGACCGGCATTGACTTGACATGGCTTACATCTCAGCCCTTGGATGGGATCGCAGAACTGCGTAGCGGTTGGCCCAGCAGCGTATAAGCAGTTGAGGACCATCACGTTCGTACGACACCGGTGGCCCAATGGGTGTGCCCCATGGTTGTGAGCGGCCCGCGACTACTCGCAAGAGGAAGTCCGGTGCCAGCTCCCAGGTGCGTGGGTTCGAGTCCCACACGGTGTATTTTGCCTCTTATTGTCCGTTGCTTGGCATGCGAGCATTGTCCCCTTGCATTGTCCACCCGATCCGGAACCAGCAAGTGCATGGTGACGACCTCTGGGTGTGCTTTCTGTCTCACTTTCGTATGCATAGATCAAAACAGAACGAGGACATTGACAAGGCCATAAGGAGTCTGTCGTTCGAGCAAACCGCTATGGTGAAACCATTCAATCAAACCGAGTTGGTCACCGGTCAAGTACGCCATTCCCAATGTCGTCTGGGCACGAGTTTTTGGATAACATTGGGTGTGCTTCGTTTCACTGCATATCTGATGCTGTCATAAAATGGGAAAAACCGATGCTGGCAGGCGGGGAAAGCTTCTCGCGGGGCCGGTGCAAGGTCAATTTACAAGGACTGTATCCTCACCCCTCAACTGTTCCAGTCGGTTTTTTAAAGCTGTAAGATGATTTAAACAGTCAAATTGACTGTGATTATGACGACTTTCTCATTTTAAACCAAGAGTAAAGTAAGTGAGAGATGAATTTTACAAGCTTACTCAAACGATCCCTCACACGACTCTCTCTACGGAATTATTTATCTCAATACAACAGAATGATTATGTAACGGTCTAAAGGAGCACAACTCTAATCGAGAAAAGAGAGGAGTCATTGAGAGCAGACCCTCCAGCTCGGCTTCCTGACTTGACCATCGACAATGTTCGCATATTGACCGATTTCATGTGTACCCTCGTCGTCATACACGAACGTGTCGCCGAGATATAGGTCAATTCTCTTGTCCGTCTTCAACTTGGACAAGAACCTCGCAAGCATCGACGCGCTGATGCGGCTCCCATGGTCGGGACGCGTCTCAAGCACGATCTTCTCCAACCCGCCAACATCGATGTCCTGCTGCGGAACACGGATCGAGTCCGGACCGTCCACAACCGCGCGTATGGTTCGAATGTGACCAAGAGCAGAGCCGCGCGTCGCCGAGTAGAACATTGCAAACGCCGCGTGCCCGTCCAGCACCACCTCATCCACCTGCGTCTCGCGAAGGAAAGGTGCGGCAAAGTTTTGCATCGCCCGCGGGAAGTTGTCCGTCGTGAATATCCAAGAGCGGCCTTCACGTAGTTGAAGCGTGACCGTATACTGCGACAGCCAAATGCCATCGGTGGTCCGGCCACGCGAACAGCGGATTGCGACGATGGATCTTGGCATGATGTTCTCCCGCAACCTGCGCCGCGCTTTTCGCTGGTACCCGTTGCCAGCGTTGGTTATATCTATTTGAATGGTCTTGACCGGCCAGTCCAGAATGGCCAACATGTATTCGGGATAGTCGGAAGGTAGCGGTTGCGAGATCGAAAGCTTCTCCAGCTGGCTCATGTGGTCGAGGAAGTGGCCAAGTGCGCTGGCATCTTCAAAGTATGAAAGCTTGTTTGTTGCATGCAGCTTCAGCGAGGTGATGTTCGGATACATCTTGTACAGCCTGTCCATGGTTGCGCGATCGATGGTGTGAAAGTCGACAAGCTGCAGGTCGGTGACACTGGGGAGAATCATGGCGCATGCCGGCAGGAGCATGTGATGTATCATGCAGTCTAGCTTACGCATGTCCGGGATTTCAAGCACCACACTGCTGTTGTTGTACAAGTTGTGTAACAGTGTGGTTTTACCTGTGCGCTGAATCGCGTCGCGAAATACGGGTACGTTGGACAAGGCACACACTTGATGCGTACATCCTAGCAGGCACATGCGAAGTTTCAGAGAAGTCAGGCGATCCGAGTTCTGCTCCAAAAACTCGCGTAAGGTCTTGATCTGTGTCGATTGATATTGCCAGCCGTAGCCCGAGTTGGCGGTGATATCCGCGCGGATAGGGGTCTGCTTCGAGCGCTGAACCACGCATTCGAGCTTTTGCAGGCTGACGGAGTTGGTGTAGGCGAGATCGGCGTTGGACCAGACGCTCGCCGTCGCCAGCGCGAGCGTGCGCCACCGAACGCAGACTTGCGATGCGCTGATCAGGTCTTCCATGCCCAAGCACGAGAAGATGTTGATTAGAACGTCGTCAAGCACCACGTCCACCGGTAATATCACCAACTGAGATGTTAGCTCAGTTGCGTGTGGCTGGCGCACGACAGCGGGGACGTTGACTGCGTGTATCGTCGTCGTTTCGCTCGACAGGAGTTTGGTCTGGTGTCCGCTCAGCATCGTAACAATAGATCCTAGTTTGACTCGGGATTTGGAGAGTTGAATGAAATACAGGAAGTCAAGTCATGTTGAGTCAATTCAGCTCCGCACGAGTTGCGCTGGCTCTTATTGTGCACCGCCATCGCGCCTACGCTCCGAGTACAAGCCCAGACACTAGCATCTATTCAATCTATGTATGTAGTGAGATGCAGTTGACACCTCAATGATGGTGTAAAATTCAAAGCCTGGCTCGGTATAAATCCTTGAGGCTACGGATGGGATCGAAAACTCTCACGCGGCTTTTCCGCTAAGATAGTCGCGCAACTTGCTCTCTTCTTGCTGTTGGACGTTTACCGAGTCGGCCTAGGAAGATGACAAGGTGGTCAGAGGTCGACAATAACAGAAAACTGGCTGGCTACCGCTGCACGGAGATGAGAATGGTCGTTCATCTTGATCACCTCGACCGTCAGAGCAGTGGCTAGGTCGATCTCCTCCCCCTGAGGAGGCACGGTTCCCGAAGATTCGCCCTGGAGCAAATCATAAGCCATGACGGATGGCGCGGACGATACTGAGCGTACCTTTACTCCGACGCGGATTGCATGCCAAGCCGTGTTGTGCAATCCGGCAAAGGCGTACTTGCCCTTGGGAATGTCCGGGTCACGGTCCACGATGGCTGAACACAGCGCGGATATGCACAAGCCGTGGCTCGCGCAGACGACCGCACCCCCGTCAGCCTCGTCCTTACCCCTGGCCTGCCCAAATAAGCGGGAGGAGGAGGGGCCCAAGTACCTGCTTGATTGTTCTCTGATGCAGTACGTTCAAGCTTTCGCCGCTGGGGAACAAGTCGTCGCGGCCGGTGGGTACGTGGTAGACCTTGGCACTGGGATCTTAGTCGGGGTCGCCTGGCGGCAACACAATCCATGGGTGCCCCTCGGCATCTCCGAAGATCTGCTCCCGCAGGCCATGAACCTCCGTGAAGTTGTCCGTCGTGAATATCATTGTCCACCCGATCAGGAACCAGCAAATGTATGGTGATGACCTCTGGGTTTTCTTTCTGTCTCACTTTCGTATGCACAGATCAAAATTGAACGAGGACATTGACAAGGCCATAAGGAGTCTATCGCTTGAGCAAACCGCTACGGTGAAACCATTCAATCAAACCGAGTTGGTCACCGGTCAAGTACAGCCATTCCCAATGTCGTCTGGGCACGAGTTTCTGGATAACATTGAGGTGTGCTTCGTTTTACTGCATATCTCATGCTGTCGTAAAATGGGGAAAACCCGATGCTGGCAGGCAGGGAAAGCTTCTCGCGGGGACGGTTGCATAGGACAATTTACAAGGACTGTATCCTCACTCCTCGACTAACTGTTCCAGTCGGTTTTTTTAAGCTGGAAAATGATGTAAACAGTCAGATTGACTGTAATTATGACGAATTTCCCATTTTAAACCAAGAGTAAAATAAGTGAGAGATGAATTTTACAAGCTTACTCAAACGATCCCTCACACGACTCCCTCTACGGAATTATGTATCTCAATACAACAGAATTATGTAACGGTCTAAAGGAGCACAACTCTAATCGAGAAAAAGAGAGGAGTCATTGAGAGCAGACCCTCCAGCTCGGCTTCCTGACTTGACCATCGAAAATGTTCGCATATTGACCGATTTCATGTGTACCCTCGTCGTCATACACGAACGTGTCGCCGAGATATAGGTCGGGTCTCTTGTCCGTCTTCAACTTGCTCACGAGTTTCGCAAGCGTCGACGCGCTGATGCGGCTCCCATGTTCAGGACGCGTCTCCAGCACGATCTTCTCCAACCCGCGAACATTGATGTCTTGCCGCGGAACGCGGATCGAGTCCGGACCGTCCACAACCGCGCGTATGGTTCGAATGTGGCCAAGGGCGGAGCCGCGCGTCGCCGCGTAGAACATCGCAAACGCCGCGTGCCCGTCCAGCACCACCTCATCCACCTGCGTCTCGCGAAGGAAAGGTGCCGCAAAGTTTTGCATCGCCCGCGGGAAGTTGTCCGTCGTGAATATCCAAGAGCAGCCTTCGCGTAGTTGGAGCGTGACCGCATACAGCGGCAGCCAGGTTCCGTCCATCTTCTGCGTACGTGAGCAGCGGATTACGATTATGCTCTTTGGCATGATATGGCCCCTCAGCTTGCGCCGCGCTTGTCGCTGGTATCCGTTGCCCGCGTTCGTCACATTTATCTGGATCGTCTCGACCGGCCAGTTCAAAATGGCTAACGCATATTCCGGATAGGGGTTCGTGAGCGGTTGCGAAATCGAAAGCTTGGTGAGATGGCTCGCATGGGCAAGGAAGTGATTGAGCACGTCGGTATCTTCGAAGTACGGGAGTTCTGTTGCATCCAAGGTTAGTGATGTGATATTGGGGAACTGTTCAAAGATCCGCTCCACGCCGCCACGGTCGACTCGTTCGAACCCGACAAGCTGCAGCTCGGTAACGCTTAAAAATACAAGCGCGCAAGGCAGGTGGTCCCTGTGGAGTATGACACGGTTTAGAGTGTGCATGTCCGGGATTTCGAACACCATTCGGGTGTCGTGGTTCCAATACACGCTGTGGGACACCCTAGCCTCACGGCCGCGCTGAAAGGCGTCAAAGAAGAATTGCATCTGAGCCAGAGCGCAATCATTTTCTCCGCACTCTAGTAGCCCAACAGAAAGCTTGAGCGAGGACAAGCGAGGTACGTGTTCCGCAAGGAAGTGACGCAACTCTACGCGATACCTGGCTAAATTTTGGAAATCGTTCTTGGAGCGCCGCTTGGCAATAATGCTGACGTGTATGCGTGATTGATTTGACCTTCGAACAACGCACTTGAATTTAGATAGTTCGGAGGCGGTGTGATTGTGCGTGAAATTAGCAGTGGACCAGAGGCTTGATGTTGCGAGTATGAGCGTGCGCCATTGCACGCAGACATGTGACGCGCTGATAAGATCCTCCATCCCAAGCCATGAGAATAGTTGAATCAACGCATCACCGGGCAGGATGCGCAAGGCCGAGATGTCTGACACGGACAAGGGCATAGATCCCTGCGTCTGCGGCTCGATGTCCTGCAGCGTGCGTGGTCCCGCATCATTAGTGATTGACGCTGTGAACGTAGAGATCATTGCGCTCGAGTTGCGCGTGTCAGACATGGCTGGCGTTGGAGTCACGCTATAAAGACAACGACCAGGACGACAACCGTTTCGAGGTATTGCATCTCCGCTAAAGGCAAGCGAGAATCTAAGTCATCTCACCGCCATCACTCCAAAGTCACGTTTTAGTAGCAGATCTCAGCAATGTATGCAACGATACTGTTACTAGGGACATTCACCTCCTCCGGGTTGGACGTAATCGCACGACCTGACACAATGAGAGCTCCCGCATATTCTGGACCGGAATATTTCGGGTCATGTGGGGGTATTCCACCGATTAGAACGCATTGGTTGGCTCGGTACACTCACCGTCTCGTCCACTGACATGGAACATGCAGGGTGCATGCTTGCTCTGTACCACGACGATATCAAGCTCAGAATATTTCCCATCCGTATGGTCATCTGCACCGTTAATACACTTGATTTAATACTTTGGGGCTCAGATGGACAAAAAACAGTCCGGTTCCAGTGGTGTAAATGGACACTGCATATTCCCTGCCATTCTGGACCACAACTGTTGCAAGGTGGAACCGTTCAGGGTATACAGGGTGTATGAATCCCGCATATTATCAGCGAGAGACGGGCGTGGAACACAAGGTGGCTGTGCCATGTGCCCAATAGAAGATCTACCCAGGGCTGCATCAGTTTACCAGAAGTGTCGGTGGGGAGCCGCCGCTCTAAGTAGGACAGCTGTAGGCTATTGAGAGCGTCTCATGTCACCAGGCTCAAGTATAGAAATGCGAGAGCCGGCGCTTGCGCACCCGACACCGACAGAAGAAGCAATGTGGAAGGCTTCATCAGTGTTCCGTTCACGTGCAATCCGAGACTACTTTGCCATTGTGGAGGCCAAGGTAGTCCTTTACCGCATTGTCCGTTCGTTTGGTTTCTCCTCAGTCGTCTGCCCAGGCGACATCTCGGAGGCGCGATAAATGAAGTTGATCAGATGTGTGGTAAAAAAGCCTTTGTTTTTTCACGGAGTTCACACTTGTCGCCTCCTTCTGTGTGAAGACATTGAATATCTTTGTCGCAGATGAGATATGTTAGCACGGCGCGTGCGTCATTGTATAATATAAAGCTACACCGGCCGGGAGTCGAACCCAGGTACTTCTGTTCCAACCGCCGATCGGTGAGTGGGAAGTAGCCGTCTTCAAGCAGATCTGATCAGATCTGCTTTTGGCGTTGCATGCCATTGCACCACCGGTGTTGCTACCGATGAGTGCCCAATGCACAAACAAATGAGCGCTTGCGAGCATCTACAACAACTCACACAAGTCCAGATATTCACGGAGCATAAATTTTAATCCAGGTTCGATCAGGCGGATAACGCGTCATCTTGAACGAGCCATATCTCGCAGTTGCCACCGTTTGAACTTGATTCCCATACTACCTGATCGCGTGCTCCACACCTCCCTCGCCAAGAAAAATACCACTTATTACACCCACCGAGAGTCGAACCCGGACCGCTCGTCGGTCGAACGCATTGCATTGGTCCGACGACATGCTACCGTTACACCAAAGGTGTGACACTGGAAGCCCCCTGAATTTATCTTGACGGCAGATCCGCAGCATCGCTCCAACTTGGAAGCTAAAGACTCATTTGGTCTCGAAACCCACTCACATTTACCCGACATTCCGAGAGTCAAAGTTTATTACTCAAGTATGCAATGTTCTCTGTAGCGTGGGCGAGACCAACTTCAGCACCCGTTTTGCCCGAAAGTCAACGAGCAGTTTCTTTCCACTTTCTGGGCTACCCATTGGCGACGGAGGCTCACCCTTTTGAAGCGAGCAAACTGTCACTGTCATGCTATTATCCCGGAGTGGCTCGAGCTGCAGCTTTACGGCTGCGGAAGGAGTGATAGGCTCGATTTTTGACGTGAAGCTCCAGACGATGCTGCGTGGATACAGTTTGTGTTTTCGGCTATGGCTGGGCTACATTTCTACAGCTGCATATTTCTATGTAAGAGTTCGGGTCAATGTATGTCCGTATCGGCACGAAGTAGCAGTAAGGCTGCAATGGTAGTGAGCGGAGGGGCAGGCGCTGCTGGCCGAGCACGCGAGCACTAGAGGAAAACGTATCCCGGTTGAGATTACACTGGCCAGGAGTCGAATCTGGACCGAAAAAATCGAAGCTCGTGGGCTGATAGGATCTCAACTCGTATGTTGCCGTCACACCCATCGTGAACAAGGCGTCCACCTCTTGAAGACAAGAAAAATATACCTGGCTGAGATTACACTGACCAGGAGTCGAACATGGACTCCGGACCAACAAGACCCTCCGGGCTCCCGCCAGTCCATGCGCTACCGTTGCACCAGTGTCGTTTGTTTGAACGATTCTCACGTATCCGCTGCTACGTCGTTAATGTTGTTTGACGAACGATTTTTTCTGCCTACTCGAGCCCGCGAACTTCTCTCAAAAGATATACCAGCTGTGCCGCTGTGAGCCTAATAGTAGAGACTGCAATTAGTAGAGAGGCAAAACCAGGCTTGAAAAAAAAAATGCTCCATAGTCCCTTCCGCCACATATTGAATTCCGGATCCCCGCGAAAGAAGTGGTAGCGAGTACACCGGCCAGGGGTGCCGAACCTTGAGCTCAGCCCGTCTGAAGTTTACGGAATGTGGCAACTCTGTGGCGTGGCGTGGCGTGGCGTGCGGTGGCATTATCGGCGGGGATAAACCGAGCGTGATGATGGGCCTGAGCGCCGGGTTTGATGATGACGTCGATCATCACCAATTAGCCCCCATGCGCGCGATAATCTACGAGCGCGTGCATGTATTGCGCAAGAGAGAGCAGAGGGCGGGTCGAAACGGGGGTGGGTGCACTAAGTGCGTAGGTCCCTGAGTGACCGGTCTGAAGGCCTTCAAATTCGGATGCACAGGAGGGAAGAAGTTTCGGCCGCAAGGCGGCAGGCGCCGTGCACTCCTTGAGTTGATTCCTGTTCGAGTCACCCGCCCCACGCCGTGCGCGCGCAGCCACATCCGTCCTCTGCTTTTTTTCTTCCATCCACACGCACACACGAGAGAGAGGGAGATATGGCATCGATCCCACCCCGTTGAGCATGCGCACGACGAAAGAGACGGCCGAGACAGGGAGCAACAGTTATCCGCTAAGCTCGAGCTTCAGACGACGACTTGGGCGCGCGGCGAGTCCACCGACGTGGACGTGGTACGAGCATATCACCACGCCGCCGCCGCAGGACGATGATAGCGAGTCGCGTTCTGGTAGTGACGATGGGTCGGACGATGATGACGAGGACGACGAGGAGGATGTCGTCGACGAGGAGGGTGCCAGTGCCAGCGATGGGCACGAGCACGAGCACGAGCACGAGCATGCGGGTTTTGAAATGGAGCTCGACCCGCCTCTGTCGCTACCGCCAGTGCAACAAGAGCGTGCACCGTCGCCTATCGTGGTGGCGGAAGCAGTTTCGTCGATGGAGGTGGACGATGCGACACCGGCACCGGCACAACCACCGCCACCAGCATCGCCGCCCGTCACTGCACCCGCACCCACACCTGCGCCAGACTGTACCCACGACGCTGACCGCGACGTCGACCGCGAGCACGAAGAGGCCGTCGCGCGCAAGATGAGCGCAGTCGTCAAGGGCAAGCAACGCGCCGTCGCCGTCGCTGCCGCCACCCCGCCCTCGCCAGCCACCTCACGCAAGACCTCCTCATCCAATACCTCCTCGCGTCGTCGAGCCGCCGCTGCTGCTGCCCGCCAATGCGAGCCGGCTTACAGGCCGATCTTGACTATCCATCGTAGCCATGGCTTCGTGTGGAACCAGGACTTGTTCGTGCCTGCATACATCAAGGACCGCTGTGAGTACTTTTACTACCTACCCCCCACTCTCCGTATCCGTATCCCAAATTGCACCGAGATGCCTGGCTGGAAGCGCCGCGCGCTTTCCACGCGGCCCTGCGTCTCGCCCCTCACCGTTTCTTTCTCGATTCAACAACCCCTCCACAATCTCACCCGTGCAATCACGTTTCCGTCCGCGCAGGCCACGTTCACGCGCGCAACCTACTGACGCCCCACATTTTTTTGCTTGCGTACAGACGTGACATCGACGTCCCCACCCACACCCGCCTCGTGCGGCATCGGCGGTGGCGTACACTCGCACACCTCGTCGCCCAGCGCAAACGGGAACGCCGGCGGCGCACCATTCGATCCAGTCGACGTCGTCGAAATCCGCGTCACGGGCAGCGAACTCGATGATTGGGATCTGTGATCCCCCCCCCCCCGTCTCCTCAAGTCAAACGTACATATACACTTTGGACTTTCAGTTTCGGTCTTGTTTTTTTTTGCTGTTTCGCATAGCTGCCTCGAGATTCGAGATCCCGACCCGCGACCGTGACCGCTCTCTAGGTAACAGTACCCCCTTCTCCCGCCCCCGTCTTTGTCTTCGCGTTCCTAATCGCGTCCGGTTTCCATCCATCCATCTCCCCCCACCCCACCCCTCACCATCCTAACTCCGAATGCCGTTTATCGACCCCCTGCCTCCCTCGACCTTGTCTGTCTGTCTGTCTGTCTGTCTGTCTTCTGTCTGTCACCCCTCGTATTACTCACTTACCGCCCCCACCCTATCCAATCGCGTCTACTTCTCAACCACCCCCATCGTCTCGATCGACTGTATTCACATAGCCTTCCCCCCCCCGACTGCATGAATGAACGAATGAAAACGGTATGTGTCAATATTGTGTTGGGTCGAGTGGTCGAGTGATAAAGCAGGGGGAGGGGGCGTTCAAGTCTCAGAGACGTTAGGTTACGATTTTTCGTTGTTACACCGTGTGTACTCGTGATTTTCAGCTTTATGGGTGGTGTCAGTGGTCGTGCACGTGGTCGTGCTGAGATGCAACTGCCCGATCTGCGGTATTGGCTTCGCGTGTAGCTGCGACCTTGGTAACTTGATCGGTGGGAAAAAATGTTGCTTTTCAATGGTGCTGCGCCGATAGCTCGTAGACACAGATTCAAACCCTGCACAGTCTACGTATCACGGTTTCGCTCATTTCCTAACATGTCATACTAGCGACCAGCCTCGCGCAGCTTTTATACTTGCTTTTGATATCCCCCCCCCTTTTTTTTTTCTGGTTTGAATCACCACCTTATTTTGCGATACCTTACATCCGAGCCCGTCCTGTCCATGCAAACAACAGCCGGCCAAGAAGCAGGTCCCGCGCAGTAGGGTGAAACAGCGTCACGCACCCGTGCAGAAGCCGCGCCAGCCGACACAGAAGCCCGCACCTCGTCAAGCGTCCTGCGGTGAGGCGAACGATTCATACTATGGACGTTGACGATGCTGATTCATCGGAATGCAGACGCGCCTTCAGCGTGTACCTGGTCAGAAGGCCAAGCCGCGTCGTCCATCGCCGAGAAGCAAGCCCAAGGCTGGTTCCTAAGCCATCCCAGAGGCCGCGGGGTAAGCCTCGTGCTCGTCGCCGTAAGTAATAGTATACGTATCCAGTAAAGCATCCGCATCACCCATGGAGTATAGCTATAATATATATCTCAGTGGAACGCATGCACTATCAAGTGTTCAAACTAACGGAGGGATCATGTACCGATCAGCGACGAAGACAGTATGTGGCAGCTTAATTTGTAAGATCTGCTTGTCGTCCCTTGCCATTCGATCGCAGCAGCATATCTGTGCTGTATCCAGCGTTGATTACTCGAAATGCTGTAGTGTACCAACCCGCCCTGGCTTGACTGAATTGTGAGCGGAAGGTTCCAGTGAGGGGTTCGCTAGATTGTCTCGTACTTCCAGCGTCGATAACCGCACACCCACCACCTGCCTGCGCATCCATGCCATCGCCGACATCTATCGGATGCAGTACATAGTGGGCGTTCACGAAAAATTTCAAGAACAACGAGCATTTTCGTTCTCCAACTTCTTATCGGTTAGGTGCGACTTCGGTTAAAATGGTGTTTGAGCTTGTTGACTTCGAAGTTCGATGCCAAGTTACAGCAGCGGTCTCGCTGCGCTTAAGCTTACTTTGATGTACTTTAGTATGACTTCTTCGCGCGGCAACGTGATCATGTGGGGAGCCTTCCGGCCCTTGAGCCCCGCGCTGTAGGTCGTTTATACATGGGGTGTGTCGGTTTCGTTCTTCAGGCGTCAGGTTCCACTTTTCTGGCGGTCTCTTTCGCGTATCAACCAATTCGCATCATGTCCGGTATCAAGCCCCACGATACAAGTGATCAAGCGTCCGCAAGCGATAAGGACACCGTTAACGAGGAGCGTCAAGCAGCCATCCCGTCCCAAGGGATTGGTCGTGTCATACAGCATGATAAGAACCAGATCAAGTACAGTAGCTCACACCAGGCTGCTGCTATCTGCTCACTTCTCCGTGCAGGCGGGGGGACATTGCACTGGCCGTGCTAGGCGACCAGCGCGTCATAGTGACACCCGCAGAAGACCGCGCAATCCGCATCAAGACTGACAAGACCATCCTCGCGCTCCTTGTCTGGCTGTACTTCCTACAAATACTCGACAAGACCGTTATCGGCACCAGTACAGCATTTGGTCTGAGACAGGATGCACACCTCGTCGGCAATGACTACTCGAACATGACGGTGACAACATTGCTGGCAATCTTTTGTCAAAGGCTCATATAACATCCTCCCGCAGGCAATAGGCTACTACGGTCAGCTGACCGCTCTCCTATTCACGACCACTCTGATGGTGAAACTGTGAGTTCATGCCGTGTAGCATACTGCTGCTAGTCAATTGCGTCGTTCGTGCATCGGTAGCATTGACAATGTGACTGAACCAACTATAGACCTCTAAGACAGTATGCCTTTGTCATTGTATTTTGTTGGGTAGGTTCATTGTCTGAGATGCTGTTGGAATGCTGACGGTTTGCCGTGATAGGGGTCAGCGTCACCTTCTGTGCTCGTTCGCTCAACACCGTACCTCATCTTATCCCTTCCAGATGCTCATTGTTGGGTATGGCATTTGCTCACAACTTCGCCGGGCTAGCTGCAACACGCTGTCTTTTGGGTTTCTTTGAAGCATCTTGCTTGCCTCTATTCACGAGTGAGTCGAACAAATGCTTTCGATCTCCCACGAGCTGAAGTTATATCAAAAGTCGTCATAACGAACTTTTACAAGCGTAGCGAGCAGCCCATTCGGTACGTCAATTCGCGACAGCTCATGTGATAGCCCGTGACTGACGAACCTTGCAGAGTGTGAGAATGATGCCTTATTCGATCGGAGCTATCACACTAACTGTTCTTATAGAGCTTTGTTCTACGGGACAAACGGCATTGCTACAATCTTCAGCTCGTTTCTCGGCTGGGCCCTCTCTTTCGCGCCAACCACAAAATTACACAGGTCAGGTCGAACAAACCTAAAGATCTCCCGCTGCTGACTTGGAATACACAGTTATCAAGTCATTTTCCTAACCACGGCTCTCATGACCATCGTCACTGCCCCTTTCATCTGGTGGAAGTTGGACAGCAACGTGGCAACCGCCCGTTTCCTCACTCCCGAGGAACGCATCAAGGCCATTGAGCGACTTCGCGCAAATAACAGTGGTACCGGCTCAATCGATTTCAAATGGCATCATTTGTGGGAGACCCTGTACGACACCAAGACATATTTCTGGCTGGCAATGTCACTGTTCATCAATGCTGGTGCGAGCGTTACCGGCGCGTTTGGCCCGCTACTGTTGAGCTCGTTTGGGTATACATCGTCCGTGAGCGACACTTTGCAACGGGAGCATCGTCTGACTTTAGCCAAGCCGCATCTTGACACTCCTCAACATGCCTTTTGGGGCTTTGCAGACGATCATCATCCTCGGTGCGTCCTGGAGCGCATACCGCTGGTCAAACAAGGCGATCCCCATGTTTTTTATCAATCTTCCGGTGGGCTCGCCACAACTGACTGTTGCTGAAATGCTCAAAGAAGCTCATTTTGCTTACAGGTGATTGCCGCTTTGGCGGTTCTTTATACGAATGGACGTGGGGTTGAGGACCGGAACGCTAATCTCGGAGCATACTACCTGCTCGCGTTTCTCTTTGCGGGGAATCCACTCATCTTAGCATGGCTCGGTGCCAACACAGGGGGTAACCGATACACCCCCCTGACATGGCACACACACTGATATGCGCACAGGGTCCACGAAAAAGGCATTCAATCTGACTGGGTTTCAGGTCATGTTGAGCGTTGGAAATATTGTCTCACCGTATCTCTTCCGGGCGCACGATGCTCCGTGTGTACCCGTTTCTCATTCCCTTCAAGGAGATCCAATTGACATGAACAAAGGAACTACTATCCAGCGCTGCGCTCTATTTTGGCTTTCTTTGTTGCTAATGCTATAACCGTGATGTACGCGTGCTTGCTCGGCATGACATGACCTGACAGTTTCCTCTCTTAGTCTCACTGTCCTATACCTTTCATTCCTCAACAAGCGCCACGAGCGCTCTCGCATAGCTGAAGGCAAACCGGCCACAATTAAGGACCTGTCAATGCAACACGAACGACAGGAGATGGACGCCGAGAGCCAGATCACCGCCGTTGACGAGCGGCTTGGTACGCAGGCGTTTCTCGACCTCACCGATATGGAGAACAAGTATGTATTAGCTCCACCTTTTCCAAGGCTCAGTACTGACTGGTCTTGTCCAATGCAGTGAATTCATTTACGTGTATTGATTGTAGCTGAAACGAGCATCCCGAATGCATGCTGTACACGTCTTTATTTCCTGAGCGGCGTCTTGAAACATTGTAAATTCGAGCCTGAGAGCTGGAATAGACTGCTATGGTACCGGTGCTATGAAGAACAGCTTCCAAGTTATGGATGTGTTCGGCATCGCATCCCTATAAAACGAGCTTCTCGGCGCCTCAAACTCGCGATCTTTTGTTTTACTTTGCAAAACCACCTGAAATTCTCTTCGACTCACAGCGAAGAGGAAAAAACTTGGTCTCGTGGACCAACTCTTGTTTTCCGCACTGTGCCCGACCAGGGCCACACTGCCAAGGAGATATCAAGCGCACGGCCCCATCCTGTCGTCTGACACTGTTGGCGCAGTGGCAGCGCGCGGTACCCGTAGATTCCGAGGTCGCAGGTTCAATTCCCGCACAGTGTAGCCTTGCAGGGGTGTGTGTTTTGCACGATGCGCAAGATATGGAGCCGCACGAAGCCAACAATGCAGCACCTTTAACCCCCCTTGATTTAATCCTGATCTAAGGCCAATATATTCCAACTATTTTCCCAGATATATTAGGCTAAATACACGGGCTTATCTCACCTACATGTGTGAGTAATAAAACCTGTAGTATGACAGTCATTGATTGATTACTTCGGGTGCCGTTACAGCCACAATCCATCCTGTCGCAAAAGTCATCCTTGCAGCGCACTCCTGAGGCTGGACGGGACAGGTGCCGTCCGTCACGACAGCACGGCCGTATCGCTCCGGGTTACGGTTACGCCCTGCAGCCTTGAAACTTGTGGAGGAGTATCTCGGTTGCGCATGGTGACTTTTGATCATCAGGGTCATAGGTTCAATCCCTATACAGTGTATGACATTTTAGTCCGCCAAAATGCGGGGTTGACAGCCGTTCTAGGCCAGTGCCACATTATTTTTGTTAGAAAAAGCTTTGAGTGACAGATGAGGGAGCTCGTGAGAGCCGTTTAATATAACAGTATGTGTCAAATTCTGATGAGTAAGGAGTAGAGGGGATCGAGCCACGACTAGTCACCGTCCCTCTCCGTTTGACAATGTCCCAGAGCTGTTTTCTACCACATAGGCTCCACTGAATGACATTTGCTATACATTTAATTAACTCAATGACTACCAAACGGTTTGAGAATGGATACAGAGCGAAAAAATTCAGTTGGTTTTGCTACGGGCACGGCCGCACCCTCACTCTAATTGTCGCCAACTCCAGGAAGATGATACCAAGCTCGACAATTCCGAGGGCTGCCGGTGGCAACATGCCTACCCAAGCTACGGTCTGCTTGTAGAGTTGATTATACTGTGATTACTCATGTTGCCTTTTCGTACGGCCAAGGAGGGGTGTTCCGGCGATCCTTGTGGTCTCATCGCCTGAAGCGGAAACGCTACGAAAACCAGAATTCAATACGATACAAAACAACAGGCGAAGCGGATAGAGTGGGATATGTACACCGAGTGGATGCAGCGCTTCGCGCGAGGGAGCCATCCGAGAAGATGTCCAATGTGACATGTTACATTACTGCTGGTCCTGCTCAAGCACTTCGAGCCGAGCCACCTGTCTATACAAAGGTCAGCGACGAAACATAGATAGAGATAGTCATATAGGCTTACCGATCGCGATGCGCTTCCTGCCATCGTTGCAGTCGCGCAACTTCGTTCACCTGAGGAACGCGTCAGGTCCGACATTTATTAGCAAACCAACTGAACGCCTGCTTACCTGGAAACCGAATATCCGCGGGCGGTACCTCTCCGCTTTAAGCGCCGCAGCCGCAGTACTGACACCTTCACCGACGCCTTCTGCTTCGGGTTTCATGTGCCCACGTGGGTGCGCATGTCCTACATCGGCGGGACCGGACTGAAAGTATGGTCAGCAAACTCCTCGATACATGTAGCGTGCGCACCTTAGGGGGAATCATTTGCGGATAGACGAGGAAGAGCATGTGAGGGAAGCTGGTACCAAAGTATGCGCCGTCGATGGAGCCATGTCGTGACGACTTGGGCGAGTAGAGGTCTTCGCAGCGCGCGCAATACAGCTTAACACTCTTCTCGTAGGGCACGTCCGTAAGCCCGACGGGGAGCAGTGGCTGGCTCATGCAGAGTACGCGCGGGCAGCGGCCAAAGTCGGCCTTCTTGTACTTTTCCAGCATCTTAGCCAGCCCGCGCGATGTCAAGATCCAACGCGCGTGGATTAAGCCGTACAGAAACCGAGCCTGGACTTCGAGACTCGCGCGGACCTCCTCCGGGAACTCGTCCTCGAAGTTGTCTGTGATCAGGTCGAACGCCTGCGCATAGTTCTGCACCTCGGTATTCAGGCCAGTAAGGTTGAACCGGTCCAGAATGTAGTCGTCGTCAATCTCGCAAAAGTACTCGTTGCCCTTGCTCGCAAGAAACCACGAAATCCAGGTGCTGCGCGGAAGTTCAGCACATGCGCAGTCCGTTGGTACACACAATAGCCTACTTTGAGTACTGCGAGTCCGACCCGGTTGACAATTCGTCCACTGCAGCAGATCTAAGTATGTGCGCGCGATGAGACATATGTTCAATTGCCGTACTGGTCGCTGCGCAGGAATCCGAGGTAAAGGGCGGAGGTCAAGTGGCGGATTTCACCGACGCGCGTCTTGGCTCCGCTCGCCCACCATCGCGGCTCTTACCCCCTTTAACATCGTCCTGACTCTATGTGAAATCATCACTAAAATTGAATCCTTGGCCTGGATTAACTGGTAGCTCCTTCAAGTCATTTGCACTGATTTCTTTACAGCAGTGCGTCCCCAAGCTAAGGCGAACGGCGGCTTGCTGGCAGGATTATCAACTTTGATCAACATATGATAGGTTCGAATGCTTGACCTATGACCTGCCAATTTCATAGCGCGCTGCATTTGTTCTCGCGCATGGACCCCTGTGTTAAGACACCGATCGCATGTCACAGCAGCAGTTACTCGTTAGTGCCTTTTTGAATGTCCCGTTTGGTTGTTTTCGCCGATTTCTACGCCAATTAAAGGTACTGAAAAGTGTAGTTGACCTACTGCTGTGCTTCATTGTGGGTTTTGGCGGAACTCTCCATCTGTAAGTCCTGGTACGAGCGTATATCATTTGTAGAGCGACTGAGTATTGCACGCACGCACCAAACTGGGCTATAACTATGTACCCGACGCCATTCCTATCAAAAACGATGTCCATGAGGTGTATATTTTCATGAGCATCACAGGCACCAAAGTCGAGCATAGACTCCATTTGAGGTTTTCTACCGACGTGAGGGTAATGCTCATCAGATTGGGATGACATTGAGGGCAAGTCACTTATCACGCTTGACATCATGTATCCCTCCCCAGTTTCCCAATTTGGGCGAGCATGGTACTATACTGCATCTCCCTCCTCGTCCAAGCCCGTCATTCGACTCGGAATTTCAGGCGCAGAGAGAGCTCAATAATATGAAGGATCAAATTGTGGAACAACAACTAAACTTTTCCCATCCCTGTTCGTGACCCTGCAAGGTGGGGTGTGAGGTGTGCGCCAACGCACGAATTTATCTAGCCACAGCGACTGTCGGTCATTGCGAACATCCTTCTTCTGGCCGTTCATTGGCAATCGTCGCTCAATTTTTTTTCTGCTATCACTTGCCAAGGCCCTACTAGTAGAGCACTGCTGTACTTGTAGTTTACTGAAGATCATATTCCGAGTAACAAGGGCGGAGAACCTCTGCCAGAATTTTGCTCCCACTCGCCAAACAGTAGAAACATTGGCAGACCTCATACACTGTACATAAATCGAAGCTGCATCTCCAATCTACGCGCCCGGCGTGACACTAGCTAGACTAACAGGGTACACCGACGGCTCAACAGGTCACAATGAGCGCAAGCCTTCGTTCAGCAGTCATACACCACAGCCTCCAACAGACGTCCATTGACTACAGCAAATCATGAGCAGAACTATGAGGCCTAACAAGATAAGAACGCCATTTGGTCCTTGCGAGTTTGCCTAGATTTCCGTGCTGCGCAGTGCACCAATGTTGAGTCTCAAACTCGTATATCATCATAAATCAACCAAGTTAATTTAAATCACATATAATTCCATAGGTCATAAAAGAAAGAGAAAGACGATTCCGAACTTCACAGGAAGGTGGCTCCGATGAGGGAGAACGCCGTTAGCGCAAGAAGATTGTGGTGCGCGAATCGCGCAAGAGCGGCGCCTGAGGGCACTGTGCTGGGCGAGGCTTGATCCTTAGCCTGCGTCTGCGTCTGCCCCTGGGGCTGAGATTTTGATGGAGACGTGGTAGTCTTCAGCGCCGCGCACGCGTTCTCGAGATTGGACGCGATGACGGCGCAGCCTTGGACAGGGATGAGGCACTCCTCGAGCGGTTTGAGAAAGTTGTCGGACTTGCACATGCAAGCGATAGAGTCTGATTCATCGTTGGCGCTCCTGTAATTGAGTATTGCTTAGTCATGGAGACTACGCGGCGAAGTGAGAAAAATAAGCGTACTCAAAGCAGGCCTGAACACCATCGACGTCCATCTTCAAACTGCAAACGCTAAAGCATTTTGAGGTGATATCCGCATCCCCGAGAGTGGTGGACGCATCAGTACTTGTTTTTGGCGTTGTCTGAGGGTCAGATGGAGGGGTGGTTGTCTGAGAGTCTCCAGCCGGAGCTGACGTTGAAAGCGCGGCGCACTGCGTGGCGAGGGTCTGAGACATGCCGCCGCAGCCTTGTGCCGCAAGGAGAAAGTCGGTGAGACTGGAGCGGAGCGTCTCAGATGCGCACATGCATGCGATTGAGGCTGCCTCGTCTTGAGCGTTCCTACAGAATTGTAGTCAGCCTGTGGCACCAATTGGCCGCAAGGTAGCTGTGGTTACATACGCCAGGCATGTCGCTGCACTATCAGCATCCACCTGGGCTCTGCAGACGCCAAGGCAGTGCTGAACGACCGCTGAATCTCCGAGGATGTCCGCGAGGACAGCCGGGGAGAAAAGGAAGAGCCCGAAAAGAACGAGTGTAGATTGGAAGCGCATTGTGACTGAGGTTTGAAAGCAGGCAATATCGTAAGCAATGAAAATAAGTGAGCAATCCTGGCTCGCGAGCGAAGTAAAGCGGGGAGGGTGAAAATGCAGGTGACCCTCATTCGGCATGTCGAGCTCGGCTTTTATAGGACGGATGAAGATGACGAGAAGGCATTGACGAACACAGTCAGTGCCATAGATCGATCAAGCCAAGCGCAAGAAGTATCACGACCGACGTGATGCCGTCGCTGAAATGCATATGTCAAGGAGACGCTCGGAGTACCCCGTGGAGCATCGGTTGTTTAAGACACCCAATTTTGCGCCTGCGCACATCGTAGAGAGAACGTAGAGTTATCTCGCAATCCGTGAATCGAAAATCCCAGTCTCCAACAGTGTCAGAATATATACCTGCAGCAGGA